ATTCTATGCCAGACCCTGATTCTCTATGCCAGACCCTGATTACCAATGGCAGACCCTGATTACCAATAGCAGACCCTGATTATCAATGGCAGACCCTGATTATCTATGGCAGACCCTGATTACCAATGGCAGATCCTGATATTCTATGCCAGACCGTGATTAAATATGATAGATCCTAGCAGAGTGTAGGAGATTGCGATAGAAGTTGGTATAGTATTTTAAGGTATGATATGTTAAATTGAATGATGAATGATTTGAGTCCAGTCGCTAGCTACCAGGCTCAGCTGTGGTATAGATATAGTACAGTTGCATGGATATATGTGTGCTGGATAGATAGAAAATATCAGTAACTGTCATGACACACTACGTCGAAATTTTTGAATTATTTTGTAATTCATTTGCGTCATGAAGTCACAGATATTATTTTCGATTTAATTTTTATATTATAAGTTTTCAAACAATTATATTTTGATTATTCTATCATCGTAAAAGACCGTTTACCAGCGAGAGATTTGTTCACCAACAACATATGTTCTGATCTACAATTTTTGTGAGATTGAACATCATGTTTCGTTTCTATAACTTTGCGTGAAATTTTAACGCTGTGAAGCGAGAGACGAATAGAAAAAAATTATATCAAATTTTAAATGAAAACCGTTATTGATTATCAATTTTTTTTTATTATGTTTAAATTGCAAAAGAAAGAAGGCTGGTTGGTAAAAAGGCAATTACAGCTGTAACATCAGCAACAAAATCAGGGTATTTCTCAAATACCAAGATTCATTTCAAGATAGAATAAACCACAAGGACTAACCTGCATAAATAGTAGTCATTCCATGTATCGTTACCATACTAAGCCTTCTCAGTGACTGATACAAAATTAGCGACATCTATATTGTTTTTTATCATTTCACCCAAAATCCTTTTACATCTTTCTTAGTTGGCGTTTTTTAGTTGGAAATAAATTAGAATCTTAATTCCTAGTGCGTGTGTATGTGCAAAGTGTAGCTGAGAAACAAATCTCTGATACTAAGCCAATCGATTACACCAGACCACGGATCATACAACATTGAACAAAATCTTAATCAAGAGTATATTCTAAGATGCTACTCAAACTGACATTTTTTATTTTTTTCCTAATTGAAATATTTTCTTTGACTGCTGGTTCACCATGTTCATTTACTTGTCTTAATCAAACTGAAACTCATTCCAAATCACAACCGATCTACCTAAATGATACAAGTCATGTTATCTTAATAGTATTTGAAATCAATTGTACTAGTAATGGTCCAATTATCTATGCTAATGTATCAATATCTATTGAAAATAAACGTTCAGTTGAAATAAATAATTCTTTACCATTAAATCTTTTTCGATTTAATATCTCGACAAACTATTTAACATTCAATTTAACTCTTCGTGGAATTTTACTTGGCTATAGTAAATTACTGTTGCATGCAGAATATTTAAATGAAACAAGAAATCTATTCAATTATACCGATGATCTTAATATTGATTTAGCTGTTAAACGAAAAACAACAGTAATCGATACAATATTTACTATTGTTATTATAATACTTGTTTGTATTGGAACATTTTTAATTGGCTGTCGACTTGTTCCACAAAATCTGTATGCGAATATACGAAAACCTGTTCCTATAATTATCGGTCTTTTTAGTCAATTTTTATGTTTACCTTTAGTAAGACGGGAAAAAAAACTATTGTTTCTAAAATATTATCTTTTTTGCTTTCAGTTAGCGTATGGTTTAGCTAAACTTGCTAAACTTGATTCATCTGCAGCCATAGGTTTATTATCAACAGGTACAGCACCGGGCGGGGGTGCATCGAATATGTATACAGCGATGTATGGTGGTGATGTTGATCTATCAGCGTCAATGACATTTTGCAGTACAATTCTAGCTTTTGGTTAGTTACGCTTTACATGGTGTCATTTTTGAAAATATTCAATTTTCGTTTTCATGAAGGTACGTTTCCATTATGGATTCTTTTGTTGGGTCGGGAATTTATCGATACACATGATGTACATTTTCCGTATGTAAAATATTTATTTTTAATTGTTTTAATTTTTCGTAAAATTATTTTAGATGGGAAAATATGTTCGTCACACTTCTTTCGCTTGTAATACCGGCTGGTAAAATATTTGTAAAAACGAAACTTAAATATATTTTTTGTTTAATTTTAAGCCATTGGTTTATTACTCCGCTGGAAGAAACCCACAATAGCTGATCGTTTCACACGATATCTTCGAGTTATCACACTATTTTTTATTACATACATTTTAACATTTGGAATTTATACAAATCTTTATATTTTCAAATTAATCGATTATCGAACGATACTTGTCAGTGCAATTCTACCTTATTCAGGTTTTCTTATTGGATTTCTTATGTCAATAATAACAAAACAAAGTCGACAACGTTTAATTGCTATATTTATCGAAAGCGGTATGTATAGATGACATCGTATTTAATAGATTTTTGAAAAATGAGTGAAAATACTAATGATAATTAATTTTTTTTAAAGGCCTACAAAATACTGGCGTAGCTATTTTCTTTCTACGCTTGTCTCTTCCGGAACCTGATCGTGATTTGGCAATTATTGTACCGATTTTTGTATGTACAATCATGTTTTTTTGTCTCAACAAGTCTTCCTTTTGTTCATTTTTAGGTTGCAATTGCTATACCAATTCCGCTATTAATAATCTATGGTTGTATTAGCATTCATGGATATTATAAAAAACGCTATGGAACGAATTCTTTAGTAACAAATATAAATACTGAACATGACAGAGAAGGTTATGAAAGAATATTTACTAGTGACGACGAACAATAAACATTCTAGTTAGCTTTGAACAAAAAATAAATAAATATTTGACTCTGTTGTTTGTCTGTCTTTCAGATATTTTAAAATAAATGTAGAGAGATGAGAAACTTGATCCATTAAAAGAATTTCCGTTTAAATAAATTGATTTCTTTGTTTCTATAACAATTCAATTAACAAATAATACAGCAAGCGATAGTTTCCTATTAGAGTTACTTATGCTTCTTGTTAATAATTTTAAACGGCAAATATATCTTAAAAAATTGATCAGATTCTATTTCGAAACAAGAGTTAAAACTAAACCGCACCCTGAATCTTTTCTCTTGATTTTTCTCAAATAACTATCTATTCTAGATGGATCATCGAATTATTTCTCCGATAGAAATGTATTCGGTTGCTAGACATAATTTGAATTACTATAAAAGTGTTGTTTTCTATCTCCGATTTGAAACATCATCATTTTCTCTTTCCGAATGGAAATTACGTATTGAGAAATCTTTACGTTTAACGATAGATGCACAACCGCGATTACGTTTACAAGTTGATCTTTCACGAGAGAAGCCACGTTTTGTTATTTTACCAATCAGCGTATTCGATAGTTTACCGATTCGAGTTGTTCAACGAATAAATGATGATGACGATGAACAAGAAGAGTTTTTAGATAAAACTATAGAAGATGAGAGCAATATCGGCTTCGATTTTAATCAATGTTCACCTTTATGGCGTGTTCTACTTCTTGTTTCCTCGAATAGTAATACGTTTGATTTGATTATAACATTGAATCATGCAATAGGTGATGGCACATCAGGAATGGCCTTTTTCACAAGTTTGCTTGAATGTCTATCGGAAAAATCGACTTTAACATTTCCGTTGAGTGATGATCGACCATTAAATGAACTTATTCCAAGCAAATTACCTCCATTGTCTTCGCTTATCTTAAAAATTATTGAAAAAATGATTTTACCTGCTATTCTTAGTAAATATTTTTTTCCAAAAACATATTGGACCGGTAATACACAAAGAATCGCTGATGAGTCATCTCGAACACGTTTAGTATCATTTAAATTACCTAACGATACACTTGATTTATTACATAAAAAATGTCGTTTCGAACGAACAACAATTCATACAGCATTACTATCTGCGCTTCTATTATCAATAACAGAAATATTCGGGAAACGAAATATGCAGTTCTCCTGTAATACTGCTGTTAATATTCGTCGTTTTTGTCAGCCGATTATTTCAAATCAACAAATGGGTGTTTTTGTTTCGAGTGCCGACAGTTATCATTATATACCATATAGAAATAATTTAATAGATTTATTTTGGCCATTAGCTCGTCAAATAAAGGAACAAATCAATCATGAAATCGAACATTCAGTGTTACCATTGGTTCAAACGTTGAAATTTATTTCAGATTGGAATCAATTTTTAATCAGTCAACGAAACACTTTACCAAATGGATACCAACATAGTGTTGATATATCGAATATACTTCGTTGGACATTTCAAACTAATGATCCATCATGGAAAGTACTTCACGGTGGTTTTACACAATCAGCAAATGTTATAGGAAGCGTATTTACTGCTAGTGCTGTGACTGTTAATGGAATTTTAAAAATTTATATTTGTTTTCATGAACATGATATTGAGCATTTTCAACAAGTGAAACTAATGAAAGATAAAATGCAACAAATTCTAATCGATGCTATTTCTTTATAAAAAAGAACAATTTATTTATTTTTTATTTTTTATTGCAATGTTTGATTTAAATCTTAAATAAAAAAAAAGTATAATCAATAGTTTCATGCTTGATACAAATAATTATGTTTTGAAAATCTCTTCACTGTTGATGAATTTGATTACCAAGAGAAGCCAATGTAATGCTACGCTCATTTTCGCTTCATTTATTAGTTATCGAATACGAAATTCTAACAGGATTCACGTAGAATGTGTTGGGACGAGATTCACCTAGAAGTATTTTCCCACAGCTTCATGCCATGTCCCGAGTACATCTCGATACTGCAACAATTTATAAAGCAGAAAATTGCAAATTAGTCTCCTTTTTTTTCTTCTGACTTGCTCAAGCCATCGGTAAGAGTGCTGTCCGGCAATCGCATATCACAATATCTAAAACTATTTAGTAGATTCTTCGGTATTTCTCTTTTCTTTTTGGATTCATTTAGAACTGCAAATCTTGGCGCTTTATTGTGAACAAATACAAACTGGATAAAAAGGTGTCGTGAATGAGTTGTGGCAAGCTATAGTAATTCTTGAATGCATTTCATATTAAAAATGTTCATATTTTTTTAAAGTGCTAATTAGAATTGCACAGAAAAAAAGCACATATCACTGCATTGCGTTGGGTTTTCAGCTTGTGATTGCAAATAAATAATCGGAGTCTTTCGATCTAGATGGAAACCACTTTTCCAGTTTGTTGTAGTGATTAATGAAGATGATTGGCTCAATGGAATTTGTCAATCTACAATAAATGAATCGATTAAAGAACGAGGAGTTCTTGTCATTTGCGAGAAAATTGAACATAGTAAAACAATAGCAGAAAAACTTCAGAAAGACTATAGTTCGAGGATGATTAAACTGTACACAATGAATAATATGAATCAAGAGAAGAATATAGAAACAGTAAATCTCGGAGAAATAATTATAGTCACTAATTTCGCAGCACGAGGTACCAATATAAAAACGGATGAAATCGAAAAACATGGTGGTCTATATGTTCACATACCAAAGCAAGGCATACAAGTATGTCAACATGAAATTGGATATACTCCTCATTCTTACTTAGAATATTAATGAAAACGTACAATACACGAGAAAAACTATGTTTTACAATTTGTACGTTTGATAACATCTTAATATACTTCTAAAATATTCTTAGTGATATTTTTAGATAAAATGGCATTTTCTAAATTGTCAACAATTCATTGATTTGAACAATAATCAGGATTTTTAATTAAAATTAAGCAATATATCTTATTAAGCTATTCTTCTAAATGCCCATTATATCCGATATTTTCAACGACAATGACAGAGAGAGAAATAATCTCATTCTTCTTTTCATTCATTCATTCAATTATTTGTTTCTTATCGATTTAGACTGAAAAAAGTATATCATTGTTCTCATTGACAACATCGGTCAAATAGATGAAATGAGCATATATATATATATATATATTCACATCTAAAAGACAAAAAAAATACATCGAAGCATAGATAAAAATGAAACCTTTATCGATTAAATTAACCGATTTAGCGGACGAAATTCTTATAATTATCTTGAAAAAATTGTATAATGTTGATGTACTCTATTCTTTAATAGGGGTCAATAAACGATTTAGGAGAATTACACATGATGCAACTTTTGCAGGCCATTTAACATTATTATATAAATTTGATGACATAATCTCTCCATTACCGGATCCAATGCTTGATCGAATTTGTTCGCAAATTTTACCTTCGATTCATCATAAAATCAAATCGCTTAAACTTGAATCAACATCTATGGATCGTATTCTTGCTACAAATTATCCTAATTTAAATGGACTTGGTTTATATGGTCTTGATGTAGAAAAGGCTATATCTCTCTTTACGGGTAGGTTTTTTTTTCGATTATTGTCATTCTAAATAAATATTCAGTATTATTTATTTTATTATATTTATAATATGTAGTTGAGTAGATCATTCAGAAATCTAAGTATAAATTTGTATCTTGCATTATTAGTTTTAAATAAATCGAACAAATCAAGAATATGATATGATCAATATTAAAAATAATTAGTTTGCTTCTCTAGAAATTTTTTTTTTTATTTAGACGATACTACTTTTACTCGGATAAACAAAGATCAAATCACATCATTTGTTATCGATATAAATAAAAATAAAAATAAAAATAAAATTTCACGTGACATGATCAGTAGCTTTCTATTTCCACATATTTTTGCTATGTTCATCAATTTACAATATTTAAATATCGCTCCGCCTGCAATTTCCTATCAACCATTATCGTTTTGGACGTCACCTCCAACTGTTATTTCTTCAAATCTATTAGAATTACATGTTCTTGTGGAGTTTTTCACTGATTGCCTTTATTTACTTGACGGCCGTTTCAATCAACTTCATACATTTCATGTTAATATTATTGGTATTTTCTCTAACACCTTAAAAGTCAATAATGAGGTAAACTATTTCTGATTAATAAAACATTTATCGAAATAAATTAATTTTTCTAGGAAAAGTTACCTAATCTAAGATGTTTTTCGTTATATTGTGATATGCGTACACATGAGTATGATGCATTAATTATACCATTACTACATCGAATGTTGAACTTAAAAGAACTTGATTTACAGCTTAATAATGTCTATCGTAATAAAGGATTTATTGATGGAAATAGTTTAAAAGAAGATATAATTAATTATATGACACAATTAAATAAATTTGCATTTAATATTCGTACATTTAACCCTTCTTCTAATTTAATTAATTTACCTTCAAATGAAGATATTCAACGTACATTCAAAGAGTTTAAAAATACTCAAATTATTTCTTGTGTTGATTATTTCCAAAAACGGTGGTGTGGTTTCTGTCATATTTATTCTTATCCATATAGAATGAAATCTTATGATAATTTAACAAATAATTTTTCAGGTGGATTATTTAACTATGTTAAAAGAGTATCATTATATGATGACCATCCATTTGAATATGAATTTTTTCGTCAAATTGCTCAATCTTTTCCATTTATAAAAGACTTAACTATCGTTAATGACAAACCACAGAAGAATAAACTACAGAGAAAATCAAAGAAAGTCGACAATCAAGATTTATCAATTATTGAATATCCTCATCTTATTTATCTATATCTTTGCCACGCTCATGATGATTATGTCGAGCAATTTCTAGTTGATGCGGAAATGTGTTTGTCGAATAATGTTTATCTTTCTGTCGATTATGAAGCACTGAGGAGGGTTACAGAAAATTTCACAAGTCACGCAACGCGAATCAATTGTGCTAAACTGCATCGTTTACATTTACATGGCAAATATAAAATGACTACATTTCTAAAAGATTATTTTCCTCAGACAAATATACTTTGATTATTCTAAGTGATTATTTAAATAAAATATGAGAAAAAAAATAGGCTGATATAGATATAGATTAATGGTAGTGGCATAACCAGGATTGGGCTAAGTCACAGATGTTCATGGTGGTGGCAAAGGTACGTTTTTTCAAAAAACATTGCGGGCGCGAGTGATTTTTATAATGCTGTCATGGTGGCGGCATATTTCTTACGAAGAAACAAAAACTTCATGAATCTATGGTTCTGTATCAATAATTTGAATACAGATGAATTTTTTTTTAATCTAATTTGAACTCGCCATGAAAACATCTACAGTGAATAATCTCTTTATAGGAATTTTGTTAATATATTGCTTTTTCTTCTTGTTATCCAGTTTAATGAATGAAAAAAAAAGACAAGAAAACGATAGAATTCTTCTTATATTTCTTTCTCTTTTTAATAGTTTATAAGAACCTAAATCTGGCATCTTATACACATTGTAGAATATGGACTTCCAACATATGTAAACATGCGGCAGAAAAACCAGGCGAAAGATAAGAATCACAAAATAATGGAAATTGTTCTTGTTTGTTTATTTGAGCCATCTTGTGTCAGTTATTCTTGTGTTTGAGTTTGGATATGTTCTTCAAGTTTATTTATGAGGTCGATAATTTTTGTAATAAATTCGTCAATGTTGCGAACAACTGTTGATGAAGCTGATGGAGTTCTAGCAGAAATCTTTTTTTTTAAGCTGTAAAATCATTTTTTTTTACTTTTGCTGATCGATATAATCATCAATGAGAAATTCCTCGATCAATGCTTTCGATTCAAACTAAATTTAAAATAAAATATGCTACTCGTATATTTTAATTGTCTCTTACCTGTAAGACTAAACTGTAGACGAGATCATTTATATCGAAATTTGCTTGAACACGATGACCACCTTTGATGTACGTAATGTAACTCGAGTCACTACCTGGGGTCAATACCAGAATTTCATCTGGTGGTACCTACGAGAAAGAACTGAATGTGTTTTTAAAGGAAAGAAATCTTACATTGACAGTATTGAATACCCGAAAGCTATGACTCAATAATAGGTAATGTGAAATGACCCAGGTTGATCAAGACGGAGCCGCTTACGGTATGTTTATCGATGGTAAACGATGTCAAAACGGTATATTTACGGCAGTAAATAGGCCGTATTTGCCCGTAATACCTGGCGCAGTAATAAGGCACCGTAAACGGGACTGAATTTTCATGGTTTATGGTTGTTTGTGCTCCGTACTCTCATGATAATACGGTCCGTATTACTGCGCCAGATATTACGGCAAACTTTCGCCCGTAAAATAGTCGTAAAGTAACCGTCGACGGCCGTATACGGACCGTACTGTTCGACCTGGGGACGATCAGCTCATCGAATTTCCATCTTAAATCATGATAATACGATCGTAATGTGGTTTGGAGAAATTCGTACTTGTTCATCTAAAAATTATTCTTAAAGATAGTGTGCATCGTTCCTTACGTTGAGAGGAATTTTAAATTAAAAAAAAGAAAATGACTGAATATTGATGGTGCATCTATCGATTTAACTATGACGCAATAAAAAGAAAATAACCCAATCTTTACCCTCGAATCATGACGTTATATTAATTTATTTGTATTGACTAGACGAATCAACTCTTTCGTTCTTCATTTCTTTGAATTTATATATCCCTCGATAAGAAAATAGCGTACACAGGGGTTATTTCCAACGACATTGGAAAATCGTACCAAAACTAAAATTTTTGTATAGGATCATTTTCCATATAAATGAGTCAACTGATTGTAAATCATCCACAATATTTACCAACAATTAATGAATCAAATATTCATATAGAGTAGAGCGGGGCTATTGCATATGAAAAATCGCTCTTCTTTTTTGTAGCTATCGTAACTCGGTCAATTTTAAGAATTTTTTTCTAATTTTTTTTAATCGATAGATGAATGTCTTCTCTACAAACTTGTGTAAAAATTACTATAAACAGACTGTCGAAAGTTGTTGAATCGCTTTTTTGCTAGTAGCCCCTACAAATAATATGCAATTGCCTCGTATGGGGTAATTGCATATAATAGCTGTGTGACGTGGGGCAATTGCATATTCCCAGCTATTTTACATGGAGTCACTAAAAATCGGTTTTCTCATCAATCTTAAAAGGTTGATTAATTATTTTTTCACAGATCGATAGACAAAGTGATTTTCTTCAAACGGTGAAAATCTCCCTGTTAGGCTTATCATAATGCTCAAATCATTATCAAAATTAAAATTTGAAAAATTTATGCTTTTCCCCCACTTGGGGCTATTGCATACAACGTACAGAAAGAGTGGGGTAATTGCAGATAGCTAGCCAAAATGACTGAGAAAATAAAAATATGATGTAAATCAGTTTTTGATAAATCCATACGTGCTATTCTAAATTGTTCGTTACCTAAAACGTGTGAAACATAAAACTCTATAAACGTAGATCAATTGTCGCTTGTTTCTTTTTAAAACTAAACTAAAAAATAACAATTACAGTTATGAATGAACAATTTTTTGCGAAAATTTGCGATTTTCATGGAAAAGTTTCCCAAAATTAAAAATGTTATACATAGACTTCTGTTCGTTTCCTCCTTGCAATCGCATTATGACTATTCAGACAGATGCCATGGACTAGTCAGTTCGTTTTGTATGAAATGACGAGAAGAAAGGAATAAAAATAGTTCCACCCCATGTCGCCTCTTTTTTATCAACTGTGCCGTAGTTACGCGTAGAGCCAATTCTGCGTCGCAGTTACGCGTAACTATGACGCATTGATCGTAGTGAAGATTTCTACAAGAAACTACGCTTAGTATGACTCAGATCAACGTAACTGCGTCCTAGTGATCGCATCCTACGATCTGTTGTAGGTATAAATGGCCAATTACAAATTATTCCTCCTTATTTGTAATTGGCTACACTCGAACAATAAAACTTAGTCACAGAAAATTAGTATAAGTAGTGGTGTTTATCACATTTTCGTTCATAAGTCATTCTATTACAAGCAGTGAAATGCACAGTTTTTATTTTTTTTTAAAATTTCTAGATTAAAATTCTTTCAGTTTTTCAATTTTTTGTAATTGAATTTTTTTTTTATCATTAAATTATTTCAAATTTTTTTTTCTTTTATACATTCAATTTTTAAAAATTCATGATAAGCCGCAAGATCAGTGGAATCGAGTACTTTTAATTTTTGATTTCATAGAAAGATTCCAAATCAGTAAAGCAGAACGTTTTAAAATTTATCAAGCTTGGCTTTCTGTTGACGAATGGGAAGGATTTCAGAAAGGTCAAAGTGACATATTATTGAAATTATTACATCTTTATTTAGTGAATAATAGACTATCGTTTAGTCAATGTTATGATGCAATAAAACTTTTCAACCGAATTGATTTTGAAAGTACTTAAAAGATCTTATCGAATAGTAAGAATTCAGGTCTAGATTTTAACAAAAAATATCTTACAGAAATCATTTATCAACGTTTATCCACTAAAAATGACAGTAACCCTAAATATGTTGATAGTTTAGCATCGAAGATGATATCGAAGTTTGACATTGATGCTAGTCAAGCACTTTTATCTACAATACAAACTATAGGCAATTTAAAAAAATTCGAAGATATTTTGAAGTTTTCTGAAAAACGCAATGTCGAATTATCAGATACCTTTGTTAAAAACACAAATATTTGAACATTGAAAGATCATTAGAAATCAAATTCTTAGGAAATCAAATTAAAAATGCGCATCGACTAAAACTAGCTGTTTATCTTGATAATTTATTGGATAGAAATTGGACGTTCGAACAATTAAATAAGATGTTTAGCATTTTTAAATCATCTAAGAATCCAGATAAAATGCGATGCTTTATGTATGTTCTCGAAATCTTATCACACTACAGAATTATGCCGAAGCAAGAAAGTCAAGTATTAATAGCTTTAGAGAAATCAGCAGAGCATTGGTAAAGAGAAATTTATAAAATTGCAGTTGAAACAAATTTTTCCGAAAAAGGTCAAATGAAGAGTGCAGGAGAATTAATAAAAGAATTACTAAATTCAAATTCTCATAATCAAAATTTGTTAGATCTAAGCGAAAAAAACTTGCGAGATAGAATAGAAAAAATAAAAAGTTCCAAGTTGACCTCTTTACTTTTCACAGATAATGAACAAAATAAATCTAATCAAAATAATTCATATTCATCAAATCCTATCGTTCAATGGACACAAAATCAAATTCAACTCTGGGCAAATCTAGTAGAAGTCAATCCTTCTATTTTGACAAATACCGAAGATTTTATCATAGAAGCTCTAGCAGTAATAAAACAAGCAAATTTCTTAGACACTGAATTTCATCTTATAGATGCTCAAATTTCAAGTTGTTTAATTGCTTTAAATACCGTTAGTAACCAAGGAAAATTACTGCAAGTAGGAACTGGCGAAGGTGAATCGACAATTATAAGTGTATTAGCTGTGGTTCATGCTTTGAAAGGGGAAAATGTTGATATCATTACTAGTTCACCTGTACTTGCTGAAAGAGACTCGAAAGAAAAAGAGAAGTTCTATCGTATGTTTGACCTTCAATGCAGTGATAACAACGATAGAGCAATTTATTTAACGGGTCCCAAGAGTTGTTACAAAAAACAAATAGTTTATGGTAAAGCAGCACAATTTCAATTTGATACTCTTAGAACTGAATATGCTCAACTAAATACATTGGCAGATAGGAAATGTGATGTTGCTATAGTAGATGAAGTAGATAGTATGCTTATTGATGATAGTTCGAAAATTGCACGACTTGCAACGATTATGTCTGGCATGGATCATTTACAGATAATATATCATTTACTGTGGAATCAACTCATTCTTTTGCAAGAGAGAATTATTGAATTTAATAATAAATTCTATTTATTTTATGGAAAAATTACATTTGAAGAAGAAACAGTCACTTTAGAATATGCGAATGAACAAGGCAATATTATGATTATTTCTGATTTGAAAAAGTATCTTTTATCGAGTTCAGATATCAGTCATATAGGACAATTGATTCCAGAAAATGAAGGTTTTGATAAATTTATTAAGAAAAATTTAGAAAACTATATTAGAAAATTCCTAAATGAAAATATTAAAATACCAAAAAATTTTACAGATTTTGTTGAGACACAAATACCTACATGGATAGATAATGCTATTATTGCTTTTAATTATCAAGAAAGCATACATTATGTAGTACATGCTGGACTTATAAAGCCAGTGGATTATTATAGTACAGGTGTTGTGCAAAGTTTTTCAAATTGGAGCGATGGATTACATCAATTTTTGCAAATAAAACATGGCCTTAAAATGGCATCAGAGACTTTCACTACTAATTTTCTACCAAATAGAGGATATTTTACGAAATATAGTTCGAATTTATTTGGTCTTACTGGAACACTTGGTTCCGAAAAAGCTAAACAAGTATTAGTCGATGTCTATAACGTAGATTTAGTTATTATTCCTAATTTACGTCAAAAACAATATCTCTCATTGCCTGATTCTGGAAAGTATTTTGGGGTGAATCCTTCCAATAAATACATGAATCTCAGTCTAATATGTGTTAGAACTTTTATTTTGTTTCGAAAAACATTATGAAACTCATTTTATTAAAAGATGCTCTATTGAGTCAGCACCTATCTAAGTGATCCATAATATGTGTTCCACATTTCGTCTAGTCAAATTTGAAATTATAATTTTGACTGAGATGTGATTGGACGAAATTTCAATTTTCAATTTTGACTAGGCAAATTTTCAGTTTGACCACAACATGTACGAACAACAAGAGACATTCAAAGAAAAGATGAGTGCCAGTACATTTGAGCTTTTACCTGTGGATATTTTTTTCGAAATTTTTGGTTATTTGTCTCCGATGGAAATTCTTAAATCATTTTTATCAGTCAATAAGCGGCTTTCAAGAATTGTTTTACATGAGTATTTATGGCATATTCATATTGGTGATAGTATAATGTCATTATCGATGTCTAGTGATCTTTGTCAAAATGTTTTAAAATTGATCGGAAGTCGAGTTATTTCATTGCGTATAGCATAAAATAATACTGTTGGTGGACGGTCGCTCATTTCATCGGCTCTAAAGTTTCTTCTAATCGATATTTAACCGCATGAATTCGATAAATTATTACAACATAGATTAATAAAACAAATTCAAACTTTAATAGTTGATGTAACATCATCGAATACATTTCATTATCTTAAAGTGGAAGGAATTTACTTAGCTAACGTAAAATTAACATCCCTTGACTATACTATGACAGAAAATTTAGTGTGTTTATTAAAGGTTTGCTCGCGATTGCCTTTTCTAATAATCTGTCGACTTTCGCTTAATATTTATCACGGCTATGTAAATCCATCAGGAAAAGATTTATTCAAATTAGAAATGATTTTTCCAAATCTTTCGAATACAATTCAAGTGTATACCATTTATTGAAAATCTTTCTTTTGGTGTAGACGATCCATGGATAAATTGGAGTGAACATTTTGACATAAATTTGTAAGTTACAATCTATTATAATGTAAAAAGTGCAATTAATATGATTTGCTTTTAGATTACCTGCCCCTATCGATAGCCATCATCTTTTGTATTTATCTCGTCTACGTATAGCTTGTAATAATAACATTAGTTTTCATCGAATTGTTGCTCTGTTATCAACTGTCTTTGGTCAACTTAATCATTTAACACTACAGTTCGAAGTTGATACATTACCATCTGGTCCATTAGTTATATCAGGTGATACGATTCAAAGATTATGTATCGATCGATTAAAACCATCGACAACTTATACTCTCAAACTATTGTTCTATGCTGAATGTGACTGGGGAGAAAAAAAGAATGTTTAACTCATTTTTAAAACGTCCATTTACTCATCAACAACAACCGAAAGTGTTGATTCAAGAGTGTACGACATATTATATCGACCATCAGTGTCATTGTTTTGTTGTATATACATTACCATATAATGGCACAGTGCTTGAATCGAATTTGTTTTCTAAAGAATTGGAAAAGTATGTAACATAAAATAAATGTTTTTTGCCTACGAAAGATCTATAGAAATGCTTATTTTTAAATTTATCAATAGATGTTGCCAAAATTCGATCAATCCCGTAGATCTATTTCGAAATTATAACGAACTATTACTAAGCTGTTATAAGCACGAACATACTCTTGCAACGCTTGGTGATGATAACAATTCTCTATCATCATCAGTTCCGTGGTCATTATTAACCAAAATTTCAATCGACGAAGGTCATATTGTCACTTCAGCTGAATTAGAAGCAATACTACCCATGGCTTAAAATGTGCATACATTGAAATTAGATGATGATAATGGCATTTTAGTTCGTGCAATACTTCGCAATCGTCATAATCTCGGAATTCGCGTCCATCAACAAGTAAGGATTTCTATTAAAAACAAAAATCTCGTTTGCTCATGTCTGCAAGGAAGGGTTACTTGCTAATTGGTATTTCTAACAGGGGCAGAGACTAATTGCTTAGGTTTGTAATGGATAAGCCTTGATTTTTTCATAGTCTTTAATGAAGAAATAGCAGTCTAATTAGTCTAGGTACTAATTAGCACAATTTTAAACTTATTAATGTCTGCAGCGAGAAGGGGATTAAAAAAATCTCACCTTTAAATTTTCACACCATTTTCTTCGAAAATATATGTAAATTCCACAAGACCTTATTTGTGATTGGTCAATGCGAAACTTCGGCTTGAATTCATATTTATCTTCCACTTTAACATAAAGTTTTTTTTTTCTATTAATTAGATACAATCTTTGGAGATGAATAACAATGAGAACTTAACATGGAACCGAGTTCGACGCTTTCGTACATCATTATCGAAACGATTACCTAACTTGAAACACGTTTCGTTTTGCATCTATTATGAACGGCATCAAAGATCATCAAATATTGTTGATTATAACAATAAATCTATAAAATATATTTTAAATCTTATTATTTCGCTTGTTGATCGTTTAAAACAACTTGTTACGCTTGATATCAGTTTTGTCTCTGATGAACATTGTAATGTACGGTGCTTTCCACGTTTAATCCGACAGCAACTTTATCAACATCCCCTTAGTCGACCTTATCGATTACGATGTACGTTCAATAATATTACAATTTAGCGTTAAAATTATCGCTCATCATATTTCGACATTTTTGTTTTTTTGTAAATTTTCACAGTTAGTCAATATCGAGCGATGATCTAAGAGTTCTATCTCTATCTGTATAATAAATGTAAAGATATAAACAAATGACCATCAAATGCATTGACTCTTCTAATGAGAAACATTTTTCATTAGAGAAGGGTGTGGGTGTATTATTATAATATTTGCCTCATCGACACTCACACTCTAGACTTGAAGACCTGATAATTTCATCAGATTTTATGAAATAGTTCAAAATAAAATAGATTTTTCTCTCAAAGTAGGTATAGAAAAAACGCATGTATTATTTTATGTTAAGTTCTATTGATCCCCTCGTTGCATTTTGTTTCTGCTTACTCAAGAATGTTGTCATAGAAAGAAAAACACAATTTAGATCATGTTATTTAATTCTAATACTCCGACATATCTTGAGGGTGTGGGCAGAGCTCCGCGAGACATCCTTTTGGTCGTCCCGCGAAGCTCTGGTTGATTTCTATTGATTCCCTCGCTGTATTTTATTTCTGCTTACTCAAGAATGTTACCATAGAAATCAATCATATGCAACGCTCGAGTAAAAGAAACAAACTCTTTTATGAGTTGTCACAAAAGAACATGAAATAAACTGAAACAGTTATATCATGATTATTTATACATTTTTATCGAACAGCTAATACTGTTTCCAATATTTTTATGTATGATTTTTTTAAATAATAATTTTTCTCCGTATAAAAGAAATGAATCCAACCCTTATTTCTTTCGGGATTTCAACAAAATTTTCTTCCCAAAGTAAACAAATTGTCAACATTCAATATTTTAACCTTCGATGTCGTTCTTTTACGATTTCTATCTTAAATTTTATTTTGCCCGTGTTTACAATATGCAACTTGTGACTTTAAATGGCATAGGTTTCCGTTTGTCCTTTAATCATCACTGTCTGTTTTAGAACTGTTTAGTTATGTTGAAAAAAATTCACTTCCTTTTTCTCGTTTATTCAATCTGAAATATATGCATAGCATTTTAAAAGACTCCTACCTCGAAGTAAATTCATTAAATTCCAATAGCAAACTGTAAGGAAATAGTTGTGTGTAGCAACGACCAAAAATATCTTCTATTTCACTCATTCTTTTTTTTCTATTCTGATGTAGTCATGTTTTTGATTGTAATGCAAATATGGTAAGAATCGAAAACAAACAATTGTTCATGATTTTGAAAAAAAGCGGAACTAACAAATCTCTAAAATGTTTGAATGTTTCGTGATTGACATTATATTAATACAATTTTATCTTTAATGCGATACGAAGCAGAAGCATTTCTGTAGTCCGTCGCGAGTTTTTAATGCGATGCGAAGCAGAAGCATTTCTGTAGTCCGTCGCGAGTTTTTTTTAATGAGATGCGAAGCAGAAGCATTTCTTTANGTCTATTGATTTACAGCTGATCTAAGATAATGAATCATGGAGATAATTAATCGATCAATCGAAATCGATCTTTAAGAATATATCGCTAAGTAAGAATGGAGTTTTCTCAGTGATGAATTTCATCATGTCGACATAAAAAGTATTCAAGATTTCTCTGAATTGAAGATTTTTCGTGAATATCCGACTCGAGCTTCGCATCGCATTTCGTATTCGAGTGAAACTTGAATACCATCTAGTAATAAAATGTTAACATGATTTCTACCATGAGATGTACTCAGTAAAGTAAAAATTATTTTCTTTTCTAGATTAAATTCGTTAGTATTGATTGATTACTAAAGTCATCTGACATGTTCTATCGAGCATTACCGTACTTATATGGTGCAATAAATTTTGCCGAAATGATCATCACTTTTCCATCATTAATTTTTATTATTATAAATTTGGCTTCTACCACGTACACCGTCAACTATATCTCAGGCATAAGCACAAGTTCGCCAACAACAACTACCACTATTTTCCCACCTGTTTTACGAGACCGTTTCAATGCTGCGAACGGTTTGCTACTTGCTAGCATCATTGTTTCCCTTTTAGTGGCAACATGTTGCTGTTTGACTTGCCCCTGTCACTGGATAGGCTTCTTTTCCGGAGACTATCGACGTCCCTGTCTCCGATTTATTTCATTGACCTGTAATTGCCCATGTTACATACCTCGACCTAAATTAAGATTTACAGTGCGACTTGTTTTTCATATCATTACCATCATACTTCGATCAGTCGGAGTCATTCTTTTTGGAACAGTACTTGCCCAATCGTCAAGACACACGACCTTTCAAGTAGAACATGTCTTTCTGATTATTTTTGCAATTACCATATTGTTTCCATTTTTCGCCATTGTATTGGATATATATCATTATCGAGTATGGTGGGCATACACACCGATTGTTACTGTCAGTCCAACAGTCACCGAAAAGCCACTCTCTCCTAAGCATAAAAGATTTATTCCTTATGTACTCATCGAAAAATTTCGAACAGTTGCACTCGGAAATAGAAAATGTAAAAATGGTTATGAATGTCGAGAACGAACACTAGAACACATCGTCATCTTTCATTCAGCGAACTTTCGACCACAACCAAGATGGACGCCTGACTATCCAATATACATTGGTTTTCATCGTACTAAAGCTGATGCTGCAATTTCAATAGCTCATAGTGACATGAGAATTAGTGACATTCCTCCACAGATGCTGGGCTATGGCATTTATTTTGCTCGTTCGATCAAGAGTACCGGGAAAAAAGCAAGAAAAGATGGCGCATACATTTGTGCAGAAGTTCATATGGGAAAAGTTCTCATTCTTTGTCGCTCGGAATTATGGCAAGTTTCCAATTCGAATGCGTGGTGGGACGATTATGATACTGTCTATTTTAAGCATGAAAAAGAAGAAAAAGATGAATTTTGTGTGAAAAGTTCCGAACAAGTTCTCAGATGGGTAATATATGTTGAGCCACCAATGGACCGAAAATTGGAATTATATGGAATGGATGAAGAATTCAATGATACAGCATGTCATTGTATATGAGCTATTGGTGTTTCTAGGAAAAAATAGGGAGTGTATGAAATGATGGTCGTGTCATTTTAATATAACGACCTGTCCAAGCATGACGCAATCACATTTTTTCATTTTATATTTTGTATATCTTAACTTAATGAAATTGGATGAAGCTGAAATTTTCAGAATATATTCAAGTTTCATTGCTCTACATACTCTGCAAGTTTCATAGGGTTCGAAACTTCCGTAAGAATTTTATGATTAAAATATAAGTTCGTTATTGAATCACCAAAAATGGTCTTCGACATTGAGTCCCACGTGCAGAACTGGAAAATTTAGCTCAACTGAAACTGCAAAGAAAAACTTTCAATAGGAAAAATATAGTGGAGATGTCATTCTATCAGTAGAAAAAAAGAAAATGTAAAAATATGTCTTTGAACAGTGAAAATAGCTTCGTAGTGGAATCACTTTTTAAAGTAAAGAAATAAAAAATATGACTATTGAAGAAACATTAAAAATGTGAGAAAACAATGCGGCAATATGTTTCTCTAAATAGCCACAGACTGTAGATTAGTTAGAATCACATGATCGGAGTAATAAATGAAATTTCCCCCGGACAAAGACCAGAACCACAATACAGGTGCCGGAACTTTGGTCGGGATCGGGGCCAAAAATAATGTTGCCTCGCGCATATCTAATTACTCGTGAAAAAGTGATCAAGAAAAGTCATTTTACGTTGATCATTCTGATAAAGTGAAAACTATACTTCAAAAGTATAAGATACATATAACATATCACCCATAAAATGGCATCTTCAATTGTGGTAATAAAAATAACTTCAAATTGTCAGAAATCAACTTCGGAATTAATCAGTGAGGCTCAAAAATCCCATTACCTATATAAGAAATATAGCTAAGATGAAATATAAGAGAAAAAAATGTTCCTATTTTTTTAGAAAAATGTACTTGTACAACCCAAAGGTGATTCCGTCACACTCTGTAACGAACCAGGAATTTTTATCAAAAGCCCAGTAGTTCTGTGGATAGAGCGAAAAAAATCAGCGTTAAAGCGCGCATTTGTAGAATCATAAATATCTTGGTTTCGGCTAAGAATGAGTTATACCATATTTTCGTTACGGAATCACAATCAAAAATGGACTACTTTTAAAGTATAAATATTTTTCTTCGGGAACAACAAATATCTGGATCTCTTCTTATAGTTAAAGAGCCTACTTAACATAGTTTTGAAAGATGTGATCGACTTTGAAAAATATCATATCTGTCTGCATGAAAAAATACAAAATAAAAACTCTTGATAAATATATATATTCATCGATACAGAGTGATACTTGTTTAATAATATTTTTTCCCTAAAATATATACAGCAACTGAGATAATAAATACACTTCTGTGTACTATCGATGATGCTCTACAAGATGGTTATATTTATTTTACTCAGTTTTGAAGTTCAACTTTGCCTACATACGTAGGTGGACCGTTACGTGGACAAGTCGTATAACTAATTTGCTATTTTTGTAAATAATTTTTGAATAGTGACTATGTACGCAAAATTCTTATTTAGTGTTAATCAACCTATGCCACGACACTCGTGGCAGGATATTAGTCATTCAACCTAAAATAAATTTTCTTCTTCTTAATTCGGTGAAATATCTTTAATAAAAATAAGTCGATAAATTGAATAGTAGAACAAAACAAAAGAATTTCTCTTAATACGCTCCATAGGGATTATTTCGGTGTGAGAATTAGTTTTATTCTTTTGAGATAAGAACCAATTGCTTGAGTATAAAACGATCAATATAATTCCTAGGAGAATTTTTATAGAGTTGGATATTTCAATTATCACATTATTGTGAACGAATAGTTTGTAGAGAATGATATTATTTTGATAATCTTTAAATTCTAAAGAAATATTGCGAAAATTTCTTAAGGTTTGTTCATGCGCAGATTCAGATACAACAAAAACCACTGATATTCTTATTTCAGTATAGGAGTGATAAAAGTTATCGAAGGACGAAGGCATTTTACTAGATCACCAGAATGAAATTCTATCGACATCTTGGATTGTTTGAAGTCATTACTTTACCCGTTTTCAGAAAATGCCATACGGGTCCATCACCGTTATTGTATTCGATGCACGAAAATCTCACGTATAAAGAAAAAGTAAAATCAAATAGAAAATGAAAAATGAGAAATAAGTGTCTTCTGGAATGTTTTTCTTTACTATTAAGTATCTCGATAGAAAAAAATACATATGATCCTCTTATTTTTGTTTCAGCTTATTATGAGTTAATTGTTCAGAATAAAAGATGAGCCTATTACTTCTTTTATAAAGCAAATGACGGATCAAAGCTTCTCTTTAATAATATCTATGTCGATAAAAGTGTTCTGATTATTTCATATATAATTGTCCTCTCGTTCAGGTAAACGTGTCTATGCATTTGTGACATTCATCTGTTGCCTTGCATCACCTGCATGTTATCTAAAGAGCTAAAACATAACAGTTAACAGGCCATTGTCGACTTTATTTAATAGTCACATTTTAAATGTGCACAAAGAAAGAGTGAAAAAACACTTCCCTATGATGCTTTTAAACAAGATAGAATAATTACGACGGCTCATTATGAAAGAAAAAGAAAAGAAAGCTCTTAGCTTTTTCATTCAATGATATCCATCATTCATTAAGATTAAAACAAGGATAGGAAGAATTATATTAGACGTACGCACATAACTATATCCTAACCAGATGTCTTGTTAATTTTACAAAAGAATTGAACAAACAAGCATATATATATATATATATATTCGATTAGAATAGAACAGGTGGTGAAAAAACAATTAGATTTCTATTTTCCTCGTGGATATAAATGTGCTATTATTGCGTCATATACTCCACTATGCATTCATTTGGATAATAGAATATCTGTAGGATGCCGTAAGTGGCCGCATGGGTTAAATGTAAGAATTCAACCATTACTCCTTGTGATTTTACATTTGATACAGTCACACTTATACTATTCATTTATGCTGAAAGAGCGAAAAAGAAAAAGAAAAACAGTTTCCTTGTCTTCTGCAGTAGCACAAACAAATGTTCACATAGATTATCGCCAGGCGTCTCGTCTTATTTTTCAACTCACACATTGAGAGACATGCGCATAGTCAAGATCGATGTTGTTTATAAATGAGTGAATGTTTGTTGTACGTGTGCATGTAGAGAGGTATTAATTCATTTATTCATTAGTTTAGACGGAAGTTGAAGTGTATATATATATATAAAAGTAACAACTCTATATTAGGCTTGTTGTTCTTGATGAACATCATTACTTGCCATAGAATTCATTGGGGAATAGATTTATTTTTTTTTTATAAATTCGCCAAAGCTATAAATGTCTGTGGTTTCATCGCGAACAGAAAAGTATCATTTATCAATGAAACTGCTGTGTGTCATAAATGAGTACAATTCACTTTTCTCAATTAGTTATGGCCATGTAATCATATGGCTTTCTCTTTCTCTCTCTGTACAGTAGCGAGAGAGAAGAGAAGAGAAGAGAAGAGAAGAGAAGAGAAGGAAGATTAAGAAAGAAGGAGGAGCGAGTGTTTTTTTTTCGGGAATAAGACGTATGTTCTCTTCGTCTCTCGTTCTTCCTTCTTCAATTGTTCAACAGACGCTCGACTTCACACACGCACGCACGCACGCATAGATATTCTTTTTTTTTCGGTAGCGTAGCATATGTCAATTTATTAATCAGTAAGTATAAGAAACGAGAGGACTAAAAATCAACGATTTAAAAGCCAACAAAAAAAATTTCTTTTTTTCTCATCGTCTCGACATACTCATACTTATTTATAGCCGATATCTTTTCTAGTGATATGCCATCGTAATCATACTCGACAAACTTCATGAGAAAACTACAGTCATGACTGTTCAACATCTTCTATTTATCATAACTATTACCGGTAAGTATATTCCTTATAGTTTACTATCTACATGGCATTTTCATTGTTCATTAAGATAGAGGTTAATGTAAACAGAAGGCTACTTTTTTTGTATTTGTTATGCATGCGTTTCTTGTTAAGTCAAGGTATGTGCATAGCTAATAGAATAACAACATTTGTATATTGAGTATGGAAGAGAAACCATTCCATTGTATGTTTGATCAAGGTTAAAAATGTTAAGATAGCAGAACAGTCGCTAAGGTTTTATTGATTCATGTTTTAGGTATAAGTTGTACATTGAATATTCGAAATATCGATGCAGAAATCGATTCGACTGTTGCATTTCAATGTGAGATTGACCCATTGCCTTACAATGCTGTTGTATGTTGTTTTTTTTTCGTTCTTCGTTTAAATTTTTAACACTGCGAATATATGATCTTAGATAACTTGGGTATATCGACCGAAAGTGCATCAAATGAACGGAATTAAATGGCTGCCATTATACGCCAATGCACGTCGTTTAACACAGCATAATCAACGTTTTGTTGTTGATTATAGCGGTTACAATGAGCAAATAAAAAAATATTTATCGATATTAACTATTCATCAGCTGAAATTATCCGACGAGGGTCTTTACATGTGTAAATCAAATCAATTTCAATCTGAAGCTTCGCTTTTCAATTTAACAATATCACGTAAGAACTAAAAATTCGATTTTTTTTTTCTTTTCACTTAGATTTTTCTTCTTTGAAGCATCGATGAGGATTCTACCAAAAGATGGTGTTATCGAATTAGATGATATTCAACGGCCAATTAATTTATCGTGCACCGTACGAGAATTATCAATGCATACAATTGACCCATTACGCATCAAATGGTATCATAACAATCGTGAAATACCAAATTCGCATCTAACTGAAAATCTATCGATACACACAAATCAAGCGACACTCATTCTGGATATTCATCATTTATCATTCAACGATTCCGGATTGTTTAAGTGCGTTTATGATAATGGAAAAGCAAGCAAACATGTTCGACTATATTATACTTCAGCGGGTAAATAGAAAAGATTCTCTCATCTTATTTTATGGATAAGAGGGAGTACTCTACTTGTCTGTCGCGTCTGCATCTTGTTTAACATAAGAGGCTTACGACGAAAGTGACAACGTACGACCATGTGTTTACATGGGATAATCATGTGCGATGTTTTTTACTCGTATGAGTAGGAGTGGCAATGATTCTTTTTCTTTCGCTCATAAATGTCATTTATTTTAGTGGTTGGCTATTCGAAATCGATGGGAAGAAGACTCCTGTTTTCATGGTTGTCGTTATTTTATTATTTTTATTATACGATGAATAGTTATGATGATTGTATTTTTTTAAAATAGTGTGTGTGTCAAACAGTGTTTTGTTATCTTGTTCTATTCGGCGATTTAAATTATCAATGAAAATGACAGTAAAAACTTAATAATAATTATTTATTCGAAATATCCTCTCAGGAGACACAATGCAAGGATCATTTGTTTTCTTTTTTTGCATATTCTCTATGAAGTTCGATTGGCCTTCGAGATTTATTATTCGATTATAATCGTATAAAAAATACATAAGAGTGAAATTGTTTATTACATCATCATTCTTCTTCGATTGCATTGATCATCCGAGATATGCGTAGGCAAGTAATGGATTAGTAGTAACACACTAGCACTAGTAATTGATATATTCTGCAAATGAATTTATTATATTTGTACAGACATAGGATTTGCCATGCTTATATATTACAGATTCGAATTGATTTTAATAAAAAAAAAAGCAGTGCGGTCTATTACAAGTCGAAACTTAGTTCATTACTACGAGAAGGTCTTGAACGAACACGTTCGCGTAATACATTGATATCACATACAAAATGAGACGGTATTTTTGAACATATGAGCTGATTTGATATAACAGTAATAAATCCTGTTCTATTCCATGATGATGATGATTCCATTTTTGTTTCATACAACACAACAAAACTGCCTTGTTTCATTGAAAAATGACAACCACATTTGCATTGATAATCATTGAGTATAAGAAGTAATCGATGGTTACGACATAGCTTAGCGAAATATTGTTTTCGAAATGTGTGATCCGATAATTTCTTTTGAATTAATGACGAAAGAGGGTATGAACTCGACGATAAACATGTTCGAAATAGATGACGACATTTTGATTTCGTTCGAACTGATGGAGATTGATTAGTGCCATCAGAACATATGATTGAAGATCGACAACGAGGTGCAGCCGAAGGTAAATCTTCAACTTCAAGAATTGTTTGTGAACCATAAATTGACGAATTATGGGATGTTATCGATGCAATTGAAGATAGAGACGTTGCTGACTGCATGATGAACTATAAGCACAAAAGAAGAAATTTTCGTAATCGATGGAATTTATTATTACATAATAGATCATCGGAGAGAATCTCTTACCTGGATGATTTCTTTCTTTTTTTCGAATAAGAAGAAATGACAAGGTTAATGAATGAAATGAATACGTTTGCGCTTGTGTTTATATAGAGCGTATGGCTAGTGTTAATGAACACTAAACGACTTACATCTTTTGAATCCAATTAATCACCTTCTTTTCTATCGCTTGTAAACTCACGTTCTGACCTAAATGAACAAATCATCAGTTTAAGCTGATCAAGAGAATATTATCTACGCGTACATTCTTTTCTCTCACAAAATAACTCGAAGAAACAAAAACAGCGGAAGAATTTCTGACATGTCAGTGATGTGATAAATTTGTTTACGTGACGAATATTGAAGGTGAAAACGCGCTGCATGAAATTATGCGCGATTGTTAAGCAACTTATCGATTAGTGATATTAATCTTTTGATTGTTTTATGAGTATTTCTAATAGACCAATCATATGCTTGCTGGAAGATTTGATTTTTTTCCGGCATAGAAGAAACATGTACAAGTGCTGTGAGCCACATAATTAAATGAAGAAGTCTCTTAATTATTTTTTTGTTTTTTGCTGACTGTTGTTCAAGTTCAGTTATCCACTCATGCATCAAACGAATAGAATCAGAAAAACTTCAATCAACTAAAATTAATTTAGAAACCAAGGCCATTTTTCATCTTGAAAGAAAGCTCTTGAACTAACTAGATATAAACACTAAGAACAAAATCTAGTGTAACTCAATGCCTGTCTTCATCATTTGTGTAAAAATTACATTTGCACTAGTTGATTAAAAAGTTGACGATTAAATTCATAAACTTTATTAAATCTTGAAAATTCTTCAGCCCAAAGAATAAATGTGAATGTAAACAAGCTAATAATTCAGTTGAATCATATTTCTCAGTACCGTTCAATACTTTATACGTAACTACTTCAAAAATGAATCGGTAGCCTTTTTTTTGATATTACTATGTCTTGTAAAACAGTGAGACTGAAAAATTAAAGTCATAGAATTTCGAATTGCCTGAATATAACGAGCTCGAGAAAATAAATCAGTTCTCGTGCAAATGGATAATACAATCAAATAAAAAATTTCGTCTTGTTGATTGTTTGAGACGCTATCAACGTTTTCATTTTCAAACTAATACATTTTGATTTTTTTTTGTTTTTTCTATAACGAAAATTTGAATAAAAAGAAGCAAGATGTTGATGCAGTAGAGTATTATTTGAACGCAGCTTATAATTATTACTCAGATTATGACAAAGCATCCGAAGCTGATCGTATTAAAACATAAAAAAAATATCTCTTCTCATAGTTTGAAATCAATGAGAGTTGAGATACTTTCAGACTTGTTCATTAATACCACAGGACTATCATAAAAAGACGACACAAAACGTATGTAGTTCAGGTTACTAGTCGTCATACTAATTCAAAAATATAAATATTTTATTCGTTATCTATTTTTCATATAATGAAAACAGAAAAGCTAACTAACTTTTAACAATCATTTTTGTCAAAATGTGATTCCTTAATTCTATGACTGTCTTTTTCTGTTCTGATAGTATATTGATTTTATGCAGTTCTTATTCGAGTCCCGAGGAAAAAACTAGTCCTTAACATTTGATTTACGGATTGAAACAAAAAATAACGATATATGTATACGTCGAGCTCGCATCTTGAAGTCAGTGGGTGAGGAATCAAATGGAGGTAAATAAATTGATGTTTGCCTTTCCTACGATTAAACACAATTAACTAGTTTTGATATAATTTTGAAAATCAAATGAAACCTTTGGTTTAAACTTATAAAAAAACACAGTTCAATTGATCCATTCACTGCCTATTTTGAAACGAAGAGAAGTTGTCGCACTTTAAATTGGCTCTGGAATGTAATTATTTGTTTGAAATATAGGATATTTTACTGTTTCTACCTATTTCCGATGCTAGAAATTCTAAAATAAGTATGGCGCAAAATGTTGATGTTCAGCGAATTATGGAATTGTTACTTTTTTGAGATCATGAATACCTTCTATCAACGAAGAAAACATTGTTCTGTTCTCATTTCCGCCTTCGTACCACTGACATAATTCCTTGCGTTTGTGAACACTAACTGACGTATCACTACAACATTCACATAATATTCTGAGAATTGTGTTTGACAAATTTAGACAGCTCGCTCATTCAAATTGATCTAATAATTGTTATAAATATAATAATCGAACAAAATGTATTTTTTAAATTTTGGTCAATAACTATTTCATCTTATTAAAATATTATCTTTTTCCAGCAATAGTTTTTTTTTCTGGCAGTCGAATAAATAAGGATGCCTTTAACTTGTACAACTCAGTTGAAATTATTTTATTTGGCGAGTTCTTTCAGTAAACAAAATACAGGCATTTTTGTCTGTGCTGGTCATGTCCTATCGTTGAATTAAATTTTTCTCCACAAAATCTACAGATTAGATGAGAATGTGTAACTTTAAGGTTCTTCTAAAATAATAATTCATCGGATGTATTCACATTATAATTAAATTAGATATTATTAAGCATGATTTTTTTCGTTATACTTCGAAAGTATGATCGAATATTATCTTTAAAAAGAAAACAAATTACTTTTGGAATATAAAATAATTTGATACCACTAGTTTTGTTCAAGACATTCTGTAAATTCGATTATATCCCTTGGTGAAAAATAAATATTACATTGACGATGTTCACGTAAAATTTAACATAGTTGTTGTACAACAAGATTATATAATAAACAAATATATGACCCGTTGATAGTGTTTTTTGTTTCTTGCGTCAAACTCGAGCAACGCTGTAAATTCAACTAGCAGGATGCCTTCTGCTTTTTATTTGTATTCTTTTCAATTTTTTTGCATTCATAAAACGAATCAAAAGTGAATAACAATGAAGTTAAGCTCGGCATCTCATGATTCATTGATCCTTTCGTAGTATAGACACTAAGAAGAAATACAGTTGGAAAAGGTAAAGCAATTTAACATGTTTTGTTCGCAGTGATCATAAAAATAGTTAATCGATGAGAAATGTCAGAAATCGCTAACAAAAAAAATCGCAGAGCGTGCATATAATTTTCTCTGAGAATATTTTTAAGTGTTTCAAACTCATTCTTGTCTTAGCTGTATAAATAATTATGGAATAGATGAAAAAATTGTTTTGTTCCAAAAAAATTCTTCATTTCGATATTAAATTTAAGTTATTCGTCTATGTGATCGATTGTTTTACAATCGTGTTCTTTTTTTTTAATAATTGTTTTCATTGAAGAATGTTTCGTTGATAATCATCAACAGAGTTTTTTGCATATTGAATTTTCATCAATATCCTTTTCTTGTATGAATATTGATTTACGTTAATGTATGTTTGTAATTATTGTTCAGGTTCAGTTTTAACTAAATAAAAACCTGTTTTAATATTCGTATGGTAAATTTTAAGAGTATGATCATATTCTTCAGTTTATTCGAATAAATTATACATCGTTCATCAATGAGTCACATTGTAACTGAAAATTATCTTATTCGTTTGTAAGAGTTAGAGTAATTTTTGAATCGCAAAAATGAAGATGAGTTAAACTATGAAAACAACGGATTAGATACAATATTTAATACGAAAACTGGTATTTTCATCATATTTTGATTTTTCGAATAGTACGGTCGTGAATAGGACGGCATTGAAAAATTTGATAGCTCTTCATTTTATTCTGCAGATAGGCTAAACTACTTTGAAAGAGCTATTTCTTAACGACGTTCAGGTTTCTTGACTCCTTCCATTAAAATCTAAGGTATTTTTAGATTTTGAAACCTTTTCTATTTTGTGAAACACGATCTGTCATCTTTTCTGAATTCGCTGTAACGGTCTGTGATGGTTTCTTGAGACTCCATACATCATAATACAGACTGAAACAGAGAAGCTCCACAGACCATCAGTGACCGTGATAGACGAATTCCAGAAAATAAGTTTCGTCGTGTTTCATATTTTAATCCCACAGGGATTGCGCTGACAGCTTTTTTTCTTTGATTCTTTCCTTTAGACATACCTACACTAAAAAAAAGGCTCTTTAGTCGGAGATAGAGTAGTGGCTCTATGCATCTGAATTCAGAGATCAGAAGGTTCGATTCCTTCCTCCAGCACGGTGGTGTCATTGGTATAATGGTGTACGGTATCGGTGGAGAAGGTGACAAATCACTTTTAATATATATGTTGATTTTTATCCTTTCTTGCTGTGATTATTGTGTTCTCTTCTCTTCTCTTCCTCTGTTTGTTATCGTCATCATATCCTTCGATACTTCACTATTATTTTATCTTCTATAAACACGTGTACTGACAGGACCACTAGGTCACAGTTTCACGCATAATAAAAAAACAACAAAACAAAAAGGCTGTTTCCCGAACCTCGAAAAAGGTTCCGTAGATTTGGAAAAGCTTGCAAATGCATTCAAATGCTCAAAAAGCGCTGTTTCAATTCTATGAAACTTTTAAAGGTTTCGTAGAACTGAAAGATTGTTTTTTCAGCATTTGAATGCTTTTGCAAGCTTTCCAAATCTACGGAACCTTTTTCGGGGTTCGGGAAACAGCCTTTTCTTGAACATTTGGTCATTTTTGTCTTATTTGTACGTCATACCTTTTTTACACGGTCCTACCAATATGGCGTGGTCGACTCCATGTATACCCGTTTTATGACCATGGATGGCTCTCCTTGGTCGCTCGCGCGAATAGTGAATATTAAATAATAATCATTAAAGCTTTTTTAATAAACGAATACTAGAGAAAATAAACATTTACAGCTTCTTTTTCACTTGTTCTATATTATCCATCGCGATTTCAATACTTGGATGAGTTGGAGGGACTGAATCTCGAAAAATACCAAATGCTTTTTCTAGATAGGCAAGTGCTTTTGAATAATCTCCCATTGCGTCATACGTCATACCGATGTTGTTGTAGGAAGTAGCCAAATCGGGATGATTCGCAGGCAGAGATATTTTAAAGATTTCAGCTGATTTTTCGTAAAATTCAAGTGCTTTCGAGTAATCACCCATTTCGTGATACACTCCACCGATATTGTTGTAGGATTGAGCAAAATCGGGATGATTCGCAGGCAGAGATATTTTAAAGATTTTAGCTGATTTTTCGTAAAATTCAAGTGCTTTCGAGTAGTCACTCATGCTGTTATACACTAGACCTATGTTACTATAAGTGAGCGCTAATGAAGCATTATCTTCTGGAAGCGTTTTCCGCTTGATTTCGAGTGATTTTTCGTAGAATGTAGCGGCTTGTTGGTATTCACCTTGACCGGCTTTCAAGTATCCGATGTGGTGATAGACATATGCCCTATCACTATCATCAGAAGCATTCGCGAGTAATTCCTTGTAGAGTTCCTCAGCTTGAGCGAAGTGACCCACTTGGAGCATTAATTGGCCCATTTGATACCATCCTTCACTGCAGATCTCCTGTTTGACGTGATCAGTAAGAGCAGCCAGTTGTGGATCACTCTCGTCTGTAATAGTCAATTGTACTTCCCAAAGACGACTATTCTCAGCCATTTGTTTAATTTCACCAACACGAAAAACAGTGTGCATTGTAAATAGTATTTCTTGTTCTGATGTTATAGCAGTTTGTTCATCAATCATAGCAAATGGAGTGATTGAAGTTGATATCTTAGTTGGATCGATTGTCATTATAAACAAAACACTAACATTTTCTGTATTGTTTGGCATGAACTGTTGAACAAAAAATGTAGCCACGTTTCTTTCCTTACTAGTCGATAGAAAGTTGTTGAACGATAGTAGGCCACCTTTTGAATCTAGTAGATTCTGAAAATCCTTTTGGCTGAGTTCTTGATCACGATAGACGGTAAAAGCTTGTTGAAAATTTGCCGACTATGCTTGATGTAATTGTTCCAGCTGCAGATGCAGACTTTGAATAAAAAAACCTAATTTTATCATCACTTCCATATCGAGCTTTCGTAAGGCACGATTAAGTATACCATAGAGAAACATTGGCTTCGTATACCACCAAATAGGTGATTTCTCGTGGTAATTACTCTGTAATAAGTTTATCTGTATTTCAGGAATATTTTGTTGTCGGCAAAAGTTCACTAAAGTATTCATAGATTACGTAGGATACCTTAGGTCAGGATTCGAGTATTTTGGCATACGATTCGCCAATTCATCAGACCACCTGAATTTGACATCGGACCAAGATAGAACTCGACGAGCTCTATCGATTGCACTATTTACTTATTTTCCAGGACCTATCCATCACAGAGAAAAACCTGAAATACTGCAGAACCACCTACAAAAAACGTCAAAATTGTGGAAAAACCCGTCACGATTCGCCAATTCATCAGACCAAGCCCCCAAATCTTCCCAGATGATAGATCTCGACGAGCTCTATCTAATGGACTCCTTTTCAACCCGATTCCATTCTAGTATTCCTGAGAAAAATGCTAATTACTCCAGGTTTTGCTAGGTTCTTCATGAAAACCCGCCTTGATTCGCCTATTGATCAGACCAAGCTCAGAAAACATCACCCTGGATAGATTTCAATGTGTTCTATCCAACGGGCTGCTTTTCAACCGGATTTGACTTTAGCATTCCTCAATAAAATGATGATCACTACTAATTTTGCTGATTATTTCAGTATAACTCATCGGAATTGCATAATAGGATGAAGTTAGTTACATCAGCATTAGATCAACGTCAATGTAAGTTTACTGGGTCGATCTTATGTTTCTGTTATAGAAATAATTGAAGACCTCGATTTAAAAATCGGATTTAGCTAATTTTTACTGCACTCGTTTGAACGACAATTAGCTATTGGTTTGCTCGTTTCATTCAATCAGCGTCAGTAAAGAAAAGATGGCGTGATTCTATCGTAAATTACATATATATTCTTGATCGAACACGAAAGAAAAGGAAAAAATCTATTGGTTTCGTGATGTTCACGAATCATAGTGGTGAAATGAAAATTAGTCATTCAACGGTATACTATGGATGAATGTGGAGAATAGAAAAACAGCGCTCGGCTTCTAATATTTAAATGAATCTTTTTTTTTTCTTGAATTTAAAGTATATTTATTTTTGATTTTGCAAATTTTTCTAATTAATATTGTTTTATTTCTAGATTGTTTAAATATGTATTCGTATTGTTTGTGATCTTTGAAATCAAATTCTTCGTAATAGATTGGAACTCGTCGATAAATTACTTTCAAAGTTTTATACATTTTTGAATTAATTAGTCTTGAAAAATAATGTTATTTTAATCGCCTTTTTGAAGGGTTAAAATTATTTTTTTATTTATTCATTTTTCTCTGAAGATTTTTCAAATTAATTATCTGCTTCATGTTTGAAAAATTCTTAAATCGATTTTAGTTTAAAACAATGATAATCATCGTAACTTTTTTATATTCTTGATCTTTATAGTAGTTACTTACGTACAAACCCATTTCTTTTTCGACTTTAAATGATTTCGTTTTTAATATATTGGCGTTCAGAAAAGATTTCACTTAGCATTTACAATAATTGATTATTAATTTATTTACTTTTTTTAGATTATAAAATGTATTAATGAAGAAAATTTCCAGGAATTACTAATTGAATTGTGTATTTAGTGTGAAAAGATTTAGAATTAATCTACTTATTATTTTATTTTATTTTAAAATTGATCTATTATCATCTAGTTTTTTTTTAGTTTCAGATTTTCTATAACATATGAAATAACTTGCGCTGCCTGTTTTCACCAGTTACGAATAAAAATCAAGTAAAAATTTTTTTTTTGATATTTGTTTAATTTGTCTTCACTTTTTAGGATTTTACTACACAATCTTAAAAGTTTCTTCTTCGTCGTCACTCGTTTCTATTATTTTTGAATTTTCAATCTTTTTCCTTTTACTGTTTTTTATACGAAATTTTTATGTATTTGATTAATTTTCTAAGTATCAAATTTTTTTATAAATTAATTATAGTTTTTCTATTAAAATAAAAGAAAATTTAGCGAATGCTGTCTAAAAAGTCTGATGCTCAAACGATGATTCACAAGACGACTGCTAGCGCCAGAAAAATGCACTAATAGAATTATCCTTTTCGTACATAACGACATCGACGTTTTGTATACATACATATATATATGCAATTACTGATAAACATGTATGTGAGGAACGTGAAGAGGAAAGAAAAAAAAGCCTATTGGCTTTTCATTTTAGTGAATTGAAAAGAAAAAAAAACATTCTTATCACGATGATTAATACCGTTGTTATTATATAGAATGTTTCTACATTGACATTGACAGGAGCGGATCGAAATCTTATTGGTTTGTTCATTTTACTGAAAAATTAAAATAAAATCAAAGATAACGAACACTAGAAATGAACCAAAATCAAACAATCAAGTTACTTGTCGATGTAGTCAATTTCTTTTAAACTGCTTTCATTGACTTAAATTTCTTCCCCAAAAAGTGTTTCTACAAGATATTGAAGAATATAATTCTGATCGATTTGTCTTGGAAACGCCAATACAATTGACTGATAGAAGGAAAATACATTTTTTACTGGAAAACATGTTTGAGAAATTTAGAAGTTTATCTAACATTATGCACAAATTGTAAATGAGACATTGTAGTGTATGAAAATACGTATTGAAATGAATTTTAGAAACAATGTGGTATAAAAGAAGGTCGTTTGTTGAAGTTTATGTGCAAGAATGCTTTTGAGGATTGTGTGCGAAAATGGTGTAAAGCTGTTATTACATAGCATGTAATCATCTTTATGTATAGGAACTATTGGTTCATTGTAGTAAAAGTTACTTTCAGAATTGTAACCATGGTACATAGTTTCAGATTCAAATGTTGAAGTAAATTCTTTGTGATTAATATTTCAAAATGTGATACGTTCGTATCGGTGTTTACAGTTAATGCTAAATGAGTTTGCATTTCTGTTGTACAGTGTCAGTGATTTATGTTTTCTGTTCTTCAATTTTATACGAAAAATCATACTAATTAGGAGTCTTATCATAAGTTATGATAGAAATGTATGAAGTTGGAGAAGATTGTTATCTCTTTTCTCTCGATGATGACTATTATAAGTGATCATGATTTGTTTTATGATTCCTATAAAGTGCTTGATTTATTATAGTCGTAAATTGATACAAGCTTATTTGTTCATTTTTTTTTAGTTGTTCGTAAAAGGGAATAACATTTTTCATATTAGGTTTGTGCTTAATTTCGGTCGAATCAAATTAATTGTACTTATCTTTGGCTATGAGAAGAGAAAAATATTTTTCTCTGTTCTTATAAATTAAGCTAGTCCATAAACAACTAGATACATTTCCACAACAGTAATTGTTGCTACGTATTTGACCTCGCTAAGCTATTTCTCTCACAACAAGTTATCTTTGTGATCGTTTAGAAATGAATGACGTTAATTTAACTGAAAAGGGTAAGAATATTTGGTCACGAATCAGTTTAGATGAATTAGTCAGTGCAATTGCTTCTCTTGAGAACTATACGGATCAACTGAAAGATGAAAGCTGGCGATTAAACGCTAAAAATAAATCATCGAGTTCTCTTTGGGGTAAAGTCATTGATAAGTTGCAGCTAGATCATAGTGAAACAACCCGCCAGGCTCTATATAAAATTTGGCGGTCTGAAAGTCATGATATTCGGAAGTTAGTTGAAAGAAAGAAAATAGCAATCAATAGTGATGATGACAATGGTGCCTCTGCCGGAGATCCTAAGAATTTAGAGAAAAAAAACGTAATACTGCACTCTGATCCATCACTGCCGTTGCCTTCTGCACCTAATACACGACTAAAAATAAAAGAGAACGGAGATCATCAAATTGGTGAATTTTCTATCATAAGGGAAGCATCTCTCGTTTTCACTCCTAGTGAATGGAAGGATTCATATAGTATGACACATCAGAAAGTGAAGCCAGGTTGGACCGATATGTTTTATAGAAAATTGATTTCGTGTGGAGTCAAATGTTCACTGAGATTTAAAACACCATATATAAAAAAAGGAACACGGAAGCGCGCATGCAATTTTTTTTGCTCTTATGCTGTGTGCACCATTGGTGAGTGTTCCAGACAATATCAGGTGAGTCTTAAAAATCACCCCGATGAAAATTCATCGGCATTATTTCTTGTACGAATGTTTGGTGAAGAAAATCATGACGCCAGTATTGCAACATCAGCGCGTCAACTACGTGGTGAAAGTCGTTTTCTAGTTGGTACGTAATTTCATAATCCAATTGAAGAGTTTATAATAATATCATGTGTATGTTTCAGGTAAGCGAGCAAACGAAATTGGCCCTTTAGGAGTATTTCGTGAACACATTAATAGTGCTGATAGAGAATTACTCGCTGCGGGTAATTACACAGATTGTCAAACAATCGAAACATTAAAGAAAGCGGCATCTGATTATCGTCAAAAGATGCATATAGATGAAGAAGTTTTTAGAGAATGTCGAATTATTGGTCGCGCCTATCGTAAAGCTGATACAACATCTGAATATATTCAAGGTAAGCAAAATTCATGCCTGATGAAATTATTAGCTTTAAAAAAGTAATCTTTTTTTCGAAGGATATATTCAGCTTATTGCTGAAATGCCATTTCGTGCACATTTATTTTCAGAATTACAAGTTAAACGTTATGTTAATTACTGTAAACATGAGAAATACTCATATGTTAACATAGATGCAACAGGTGGTATATTGAAAAAAATGCATGAACAGAAACGTTCATTACTTTATGCACTTTTATTTAAAGATGGTGTTGATGCATATGACACTGTTTCTCTTGCACATAGTATTCTAACAGATCATACTGTTCCTAGCATAAGTTACTTTTTAGGAAACTTGGCACATAATATTAGTGAAGTTGAAGGAAAACTTGTTTTGCCTTCTTTTTTTATAACTGATTTTTCAGCTGCTATTATGAATGCCATCCTTCAAGCGTTTAATGGCGAAAATATCAATGCTCATCTAAATCGTTGCTGGAATGTATTGCATGGTAAATACAGTGCACAACAAATGCGATCATTATCTTTTATTCGTTTATGCTGCTGTCATGTTATACATGCTATCGCAAGAAGTTTAAGTGCTGCACGCATTGATAAAACAATACGACGAGCTGTATTACATATATTCGCTTTTATCTTATGTAGCGATGATATCAACCAATTATATGATAGTCTTGGATTGATAATTAATATATTCGGCAATCCAAAAGAACAGAATGCAAAAGAAAAACTTGAACGAATGGCTGCACTTCAATTAAATACCGACGAAGAAAGTATATCGCTGTTGTCGAATGATAAGAAGATATTTAAGAAGGCTAAAAAGAAGAACGATGAATTAAGACTAGTAGACGAATATTTTCGTTCAAACAGTCCTATCATTCATCAATCACCATTTAATAAGGAGGCGATTCGGCGTTATCCGAATCTATCTGATCTTATCAAGAGTAAGTCTAAGTATAGTAAAGCTGACAATCCACTATTTTCTCCATCGATAATTCGTATTTTTTATCGATGGTGGGCATATTTGCCGTTATGGACAGGTTTGTTATGTAATTTTGAAGAGCGCTACGCAAATGACAAAAAAAAAGAATTATCTGTAACTCATCACCCTGTTCGTTATTCGAATGCAGCGATTGAAAGCTATTTTCGAACATTTAAACAAAGTATCTGCAAAGGTAAAAAAGGTAATAGACCATCAGATATTATAATGGAATTACAGCGAAGTGTTAAAGCACAAGCTAAAGCAAATGAATTCGGTATAACACAAAGTTCAAAGGGAAGAAGAAGAAAAAAAGTGAACGTCAATATAGAAGAGAACTGGGGAAAGAGAACTGGTGATAAGAAAACTCGCACTCCTTACTTCAAAGAGATTGATAAGCGTGCAGCTAAACGTGCTCGATCGAAAGTAAATCAAGATCAATCTGATAATGTTACCAAAAAACTTAGGTATAGTCTATAAAATGCTGAAAATAATTAAATTAAAATTTTTTTTTCTAGTGAATCGGACGATAGCTCAACTATATCTTCATTAGATCCGTCATCATCATCTTCCGAAGAATCAGAAAAACAATTTTCATCAAAGTAAGAAGAATATTTGCTCTCGAATAAGCAAAAATTATTCATTACAGTGAGTCTACGCGATCTAGTCGAAGCTGTTCTGCATCATCCACTTCCAGGACAAATTTGAAAGTAAGTACGAAAAATTCTAATCCTATTCTAAATGATTCAGGTAAACCAACGGCTGATGATGATGAACAAAGTGATGTTTCAATTGAGCCAGATTCAGATACATATTTATTCTCTTCTATTACAAACACTATGTATCCTATTACAAACGGTACGCAATAAAGTGACCTATGAATTCCTCAGAATAATACTTCTCTCATCACAGAGTCAAAAACCACAGTTGATCAATTAAAACCCACACCACCGACTCAATTTTCATCACAACCAGAAGCAATAATCGATGGTCTTACAATACGATGGCCCAAATTTGGGCTAAACAATGTTATTTTTGAAGGTACTCGTAGTTAATATAATTAGCATTTGATTTTCAAAACATTACTTCTATTTTTTCTCTTTTATAAGGTCAATCATATTCCCTCACACTCACATGTCCAATAGATTCAGCATTGTTTGTTTTATATTTTCTTTATAAAACTGATGTAAGTCTTGCTGGAGAACTTGATGATGCACCGCAATCATCGCCGTATTCGAAACTGGTTGAAACATTCAAAATAGTCGAGAAAGAAGGCTGGGACACTGCACGAATCTACTGGCTATTAACATTTAATATTCTGAAAAGATCTGATCGACGACTGAAAAGCTTGTTTGGATCAGTCGACGAGCAAGTTTTTTGTTTTCTCAAAAATGAACAACGTCATTCAAACAAAATTATATGTACAAGACCTGACTGTAAAGAGAAAGAACGTTTTTATTCAACAACTGAATTATCAATACGGTGAGTACATGCTTACGAATAGTTATCGTTTTATTCACGCAACATTTAGTGCTTGTGACAAACAAGTTGTAAAATTTGAAGAAGAAGTAACGGGTGTATGTCAAACAACGATGAAGCGGTTAGATGAAATAACAAAAGCTGAAGCACTTGAGAACAAATACAAAGATGCTCGAGTGCCTATAATCAATTATGAAACAAATACAAGTGAATACTTGTATGTAGCAGATTCATTTTTCTGATAATTATTATTATTTTCTCTTTGTAGAGACGTTTGGGTATGTGATAATGCGAATGTTCATGAAGCAGCTGCATTTGATTATGGTTATCCTCCAATGCTTATAGCAAATATCGAACGAGTAGCTAGAAGAAATGAAGAAGGTTATCCATCAAGTGCTGTTCGATTACGTGATGTGAAGCGTATCATAGAAGTAGGATGCGTCAAGTAAGTGTTGGACATATTTTTGTCTGTGTGATGTTCATTTCATAAAAAACATTGATTTTCACTCTTTGGAGTATTCAATTTTTCGATTTCTTTATAGCATATGTTTAAATCTGAAAATTTCTGTAACATGTTTTTTTTTGTAGATACCAATTACGTGCTGTTATACACAACAAAAATGACCATTTTACCGCTACGTTGATTAATAGTGACAACACTTTGTATGTTTATGATGATCTAAGAGGTGTTAGAGAAGTTCGAACCTCAACGGATGAAATTGAAATGGGCATTTATACTCAAATTCATGAGTTTTGATAATGTATCATTTTTTTGTTTTACATTTTTTCAATTGGTTATCTTATCTTAATATTGTTCGTTAAGAAACATAAGAATAAAAAATAAACTGTCAAAAATACTCATAACTAAGACAGCTCAATGTATACAAATATAAATATTTGTCTTTCCTTTACACTTTCAATTGAATGCATTCATATTTAATCAATAAAATCAAAGATTGAAACGTCGGGAAAAGGCTATTAGAAAAAGAGTTTGAAGAAATCTCTTCATTTTAAACATGAAGTGATCTACGACTGAGCGTAATGATAGAAATTTTTTTAAATGAATAATATACATTTTCTATTCGATCATTTTTGTAGCATTGTGGCTGTATTCTCGAAACTTTTATCTATAAATCATTATGAATTGTCAGAAACGTTTCTATACCATATCGAAAATCAGAGTCTGAGCGACTGTTTTCTTCATGTGATAATAATAGTAATTTTGATAATATTTTTTTCGTAACTAAAATTAAAGAGCTACAAATACTCATTTTTATATCTCAGATAAATGCACTTTTTTCAGTCTGCATTGTTCTCAATTCGCTGAACGATGATGATTCCACCATCTCAACGGATGACAAACAATACTCAATTCATTATTGGATTGTTGCGAGTGATGATAATGTTATAATTGAATAAGCTACTAATTCACAGCAACATTGAATCAAAACTACATTTGAAACAGTTTTACTAATAGACAACAAGAAAATCGATAAACACCTTCCTATCACAATGACAAATACTGAGATGTTTTTCCAAGAATTTCAATAAATTTCATGCTTTCAATTTCTCTCAATAAAATTCATATTCGATTTACGCATTCATATTGCCTATCTAAAGTGAAACCTTGCGAATAATGTCATCATTTCACATATGGACTAAAATATATTCACCGGTGATAACTTTTCTGAAGAAAAATCAATTTGTTAAAATAAACAAACCCAGACACTTTTTAAATACATACTGATTCAATCTATTTTCACTTATAATCAACAATAGAAAAGCTAGAGAGATGAAAAGGAAAACAAGCATGCAAATAAAATAAACACGTATTTGTGATATGACTATTTCAAGAATTGAATAAATATGAACTATCCATCAGTGCCAGAAAAAAATAAAAATAAAAATTTTTTTCTATTATATTCTACAAAAATAACTTTGTTTTTTAATGTACTTTAAATTTTCATGATTAAGATGTGCATAATTATGTGATTGAATATATCATGCAATCAACGAGATCTGTGAATGTATCAAAAGGAAAGAAAATAATATAAAATGTCACACATATATCTTTTAACAATCATGTTCATGACTGAACTAAAACTGAATCATCTATCTTTAAATTATTGAATCAATGAATAAAATGTTAATTTGACGTTTGTTGGTCAATGTCAACTTCAGAACTAAAAATATTCACGAGAAGATTGAATCGATTGTGTCCGAGAAAATAAACACTTTTTTTTATCGTTTTATCACTTATATTTATAGTAACAACAGTAGAATCAATTTTCATAAGAATGCTCCAACAATTATTGTAAAAGAATGTACAGGAAAATGAAATTCGTAATACTGGAAGTATTACTAAAGTAATAAAAAGATTACGGCTGAATGTAATTGAGCAGTGCCAAATCTTGATAACCACGACACAAAAGCTCTATCACCTGATAAACATAAACGATTGTTTTTATTAAAATTCATTACTAGCTTCATAGATTAACAAAAATTAGAAAGAACGACCAAATGCTATTATTGATTAATTAATATTGAATTTATCAGAAAGTAGTAGAGGTTAAGAAAAAGTTGAATATCTCAAATTCGGAAACAAAAATAGTATAATGGAAGATGATTAAAGGTAGACTTGATGAAAATCATGATAATGAAAAGTTTAGAAAAACAATTATCGAATGAAACTCGGTAGATATCAAATTTTATTTCACGAGAAGCTTGTTCGAATTAATTTGTATCGTTCATATTTAGATCAGAATACAATTTATATTTGAAAAAAAGAAACGATGAAAAACAAAAATTTAGAAATTATTGTTAACTAAAATCTATCGATTTAGTTGTATATCATGCAATATCACATAGGACAGTTACAACAATAATATAATAGGATTCTCACATACCTTATTGCTTTAAACTAAATACAGTCTTATGTTGTTTCTTTGATGAGAATAATAACATTTATTTTTTAAACATATATCAAAAGGGCTGTAATAAAAACGTTAACCACAGAACACGAATTCATCTTATCTACATTTTTTTACTCTTTGAATGTATCCGATTCGTGTGAATGTTACATTAAACGACCAATTTATGTAATCTAATTACAAACTGTTGTCGACTAAGATGTATATATACCGTGAGACAATCATGAACGTTATCATTGTATGCCTGTTACATTCACCATGTTACGTATTTTCGTTTTCTTCAGCATTTTTATCTTGGTTAATTGTGCTACTGTAAGTATTGTAATTCACTATTATTGAATAATTTTAATTATTTGCATCTGTAGGAATATAGTAATTTAAATCAATTGATAAAAAATGAATACGGTTTCACAACAACAGCGGCAACCACTGTTGCCAGTACTCCTATGGCTGCCATTTACAATGTTCAACGAACTGATTATAATAGAGTTAATAAAATCATTAAAGAAAATATGGAATACTTTATTCCTACAGTGGGATTTCTTATTGTAGCTATTCTAACAATTATTTATCAACTTCTTAAAAAATGCTATGTAAACGATTGTCGTTGTAAAGTAGGATTTAAATGAAGTGTTCTTAATCTTGGGATATTTTTCTTATTTTTAGATCAACTGGTTCAAAGTTAAGCGACCAGCTGAATACAGACGTCGTATACAAAATATCCGACGTAAGTAACTTATTCTTTCTTTGAGTCAAACTGCCTTTTTTTCTCTTCTAGACGCACAAATAGTACTCAATCAAATTTATCAACAACCGTCTTCCATGATTTATTCTCTAGCTTGAGCTTTTTTTACTATTTCTTTTGTCGTCGTTACTTGTCATTGGATATTGTTATTTTTCTTGTTCATTCTTATCTATTGGTACTAGTCGTTATTTTTTTTTGTTGATAGTTGTTTTTTCTTGGCTCTCATGATTCATTCTTATTCTCAAATAAATATGAACTTAGTTCTAGATGACTAACTTACAGAAGTTTGAATTAGAAATATTACGTTTAGCAAAGTTGAATCGGCATAAGATTAAAATAACAATATAACAACTAGCTGTGCTTGAAAAATATACAAGGATAGATATTGATTGAACATAGAAGTATATGTGCTATGGTAACAACGAAGAATGATAGCTGTAATTTGAATAATTCCAACTATTAATATTTGAACTATCTTAAGTACACAGTAACTTGTAGCCACGTTGTTTTTTAATCAGAACTTCTCATTTCAAGTGCATCGCTTTACATATAAATTATTTAATAGAATATGAATATGAATATTCTGTAGCAATAAATTGAAATGTACGATGTCAACTCAAACTATCTCATTGATCGTGCTATTATCAAATATCTTCATTAGCTTTTCACAAAAAAAAAGATTCAAGAAACAAATATTTGATTTGAGATAATAAACTTCATTGTACAGCTCATATTGAGAACAGAACTTTTTATTGTTGGATATATATGTACGTATGCTGCAATATTCTTATAATATCTGTTCCTAACAATCTTTTTTATGTTTCTTTTCTTATCAGTTATCTTTTGAGTAAACATGTTTTTATGGCATAAATATAAAAAAACAATAGTCGATTGAAACGCATTCATTTTTCAAATTCTTTCGATATAATCAGATATTCATCCGTCGTTTCTATAGTCATTAAATTTCATTCAAAAATGATGGTTGGTGTTGTAAGATTGTTTCTCTTTTACTTTGCCATTAACTCGATCAGAGCCGTATTTCTTACCTCAATGAGAGACTGGAATACAGAAGACATTATTATTGATGTTAATAAAGCCTACGTTCTTCGACGCATAGGTAAATATTCGCCAATTGTTGCAGAGAAAATTATCCACACATTTATACCTCTCGATAATCTCTGTGTTGGATCTCCAAATACAGATGTTTGCGTATATGCTTCACTGCCGCTAAAGACGAATGTGGTGCAACTAGCTACTATTGTGGCACCAAGTCATACGATTCAGACTCGATCGTTATACGAGACAGATAGATTGTCGAGCTTAATTGGCAAAGATATGAGACGAATTCTCGCGCAGCATCATCCAGACGAAATGATTAGGAATACAAAATCAATCGTGCATTACATTGATGATAAATTTTATTATACAAAGAATGAAGAAAGAGAATTGATAACGCCAATTGTCAATACTTCCTATATTTATTCCGGTTTTTCTCGTATTCGTCCAACATTAATTGAATTAGTACTTAAACAAATAAATGCGAACAAAATTGGTGTAGAATATTTACCTTATCTCGATTTAAAACGATTTCTAGAAGCCGCATATACAACTATTGACACCTCATACACGATTTCCAATACGCAGGAAGCCTTGGATGATTTTATTCAACTTATTATAGGACAATCAATATTTGCATTACGTTACTGTTCTATAGATAAAAGAACTACAGTTGAAATTCAACCATGTATGGTTATGTCAACAGTGTTCTCGCACATTCGTAACGATGCTGCACACATATATTTTATCTACCAATTGATTCCTTTATCAGTTATGAACAATAATACTATTTATAGCTACACAAATCTTCCAAAACTAATAGGAATCAATGTGATCGATGGTAAACTTATTGTGTGGAAAAAAGATTCAGACTTGAATGATTGTACATTTACACCTATATTTCAATGCAAAAAATTACCTGTTTTTATTTCATCATCGAAATCTTCGTGCCTATCACAGTTGTTTGACGATGAACAATCCATTGCAAATATGTGTGAGATTAGTCGGTCGAACAACATTAATGAAAATTTTATTCAGATTGATAATGACGTCTGGCAATTCAACGCGATCCAGAAAACGGAATACTGTGAATTTGATATAGATGCAAGTAATGTCAAACAAAAAATTTTCTTAAATAAAGCAGCGATTGTACGTTTTCCATGCAATAAGACGATTACGTGCACCAGTTCTACACTACAAGCGACATCATGTAAGGATCATCGAATTTTCATAAAATCTGATGCTCAACCAGGCATTCAATCTCAATCTCATTTCGTTTTGCCCTTAAAGAATATGACACAAGCAATCATCACATCGTACCAATCACAATTGAAAAACTCAATGGCCGAATTAATAATAGCTTTGGACCTAAAGAAAAACAAAGTTACGGAAGGATTTCAAGATATTTTCGTGTACGCCACATCGATCGTTGGTTTGGTACTCGTCATCATCTTTCTTTACATTATAAAACTGATAAAAAACAAATTACAAAAGGAAGTACGCAACCTTGAGTTATTAGTTGAGGACTTGATTATTGTTTAAATTTTTTTCTCTCACTTTTTTCTGTGTGTATCGTAGTTGACTCAAAATAAACATTCTTCAATATCGTGTAATCTAAATACTCAAATAAAGATCATCAGCTTCTAAGAAACAAGTAAAACTCAAAGATACGTAAGCCACCTCCAAGGTGACTGATTAATTCTTGAACACAATAGATGCAAAACCTAATCGTACACTGAAAAACGAACGGAAAAAGCTTTAGAAAGATTCGAATTTTCATCGATACATATGTTTCAGGAAGCCAACGAAATTCTCCAAAAATTTATATCAATTTTCTTCAGAGACGTGATAAACTTTTCAGATAATCCACAAAACTCAAGTGCTCAATCAAAGAAACATAATGCAATTTATTAAACAATCAAAAATAAACAATTGTTCAGGAGAAAGGTTAAATAATAATATTGTTCACTACTTTTAACATCGCACATGAATCCATAACATACGACGCGAAAGAT